TTGACTGGGAAGCTTTGAATATCTGATATGTCTGATAACAAATGGAGCGATAACTACAAAAAAGAAATCCTTAGAGGCTTATTTCATCATCTTTGAAACCAGCTTGATACTCTTTGGAAACTGGATCATATGAACCTACAGATCTTGAAAACAGACATACAAGTTCTTCAGTTGCAAAAAGTATCATTGAAACACTTCACAGTATTGACGTTGCTACTTCCTTTAGACCTGTTTACAAAATGTGTTGGGGAGGGAACCTTAAATTTGCCAGGAGCTTAGATACCAGGAAGCTTAGGCCTTCTTCGTGAGTTCAAAACAATTTGTAATGACATTAAACCTTCCTTTGATGAATTTAACTGTGAAAGAAGGTTTGGTGTAATATTATTTTCACTCCATTCATTTTCATATTTATTTAGTCTTCAATTCATCTATCCTAATTGACCTATTTTCATATTCTCACAGTTTATCAATTCATAAATTTCCAAGTAAATGTCTAATGACAAGTACGTGCAAGATCAGATTCTTAGGAATGTATATATTATCATTATTTTTCCCTAGGTTCCAAGTGGAACATACGGCTTCAGTAGCACGCCTCCATTCCACTCTCTTCTCTGCAGTCGTTAGAACCTAGCACCATGACTGCTCACAACCTTTCATTTCTTCCTCATATGATCTCCTCCATGTCACCCTCATCTGCGACGCCCAACTCGTCCTTTCCCACTTCAATTCCACTCGACGGCCTGACCTGGCGTGGTGCGTGATGTCCCCAATCGGTCTTCTCAGTGTATACCCAATCCATTCCATCTCCACTTCCTTCCAGTGCATATTTGTTGCGTGATAGGTCCTTGGTTGGTTTGTTGCCAAATACCTTGTTGCTTATTCTTATCATTCTGGCCATCTGATCGTCAGCGTCGAGCCGGCGTAGGCAGCTGTTGATGATGTATGTTTTTAGTTTGTTGGAAATGCTTTTCGTGACACGCCAAGTTTCTAATCCATACAGAAGCACTGACCTGACACTGATGTTTAAAATCCTGATGTTGTTCACGCTTTGTGCTAAGTGTAGTAGATCTCCACACTGATTTCAGATTAGTGAGAGTCCATCTTGCTGTATTTGTGATCCTGGTTTTCAAAACGTAAAATTACATACTAATCTAGTGATGAGCGTTGTTTACTGACAACTTATCAATCTGAAAGTATCAAGAAGGTGATAATTGATTAGGTAATTAAGACAATTATGTGTAGTAATGATGGGCAGTGGCTAGCAGTGGAATCCAGGATGCTCATTTCATCCTATTTGGGACTTGTAGCAGGATGTACCTGCCTTCCACTGCCCATCATTACCATACATAATTAAAACACAGGCAATATCGAGGCAACCGCATAGAAGCCCATATGCCAACAAAGACTGATCAGTTCGGTCCAATCAACGACGGTGTCATACAAGCAGTAACACCAAGTAAGACAATTAACTAAAGCACAGATTCATTATAGTAGAAAGATTTCGTGAAATTTCAAATAAGTTGTTACATAACTGATATTTTGTATGGTAGTAACTAATGAGAAAAAAAGGTGAAAATGAACTGTTACGTCAAGTGGTAAGTTGCTTACGCTAATTAAAACAACAGGGGAAGGAAAATATGGCTAAAACTGTAATAATAATAATAATAATAATAATAATAATAATAATAGAGGTATTAACACATCAGTCATAATCATTTGTGAGATGAATAATATGGAAGGGTCTATACAGATGACTAAGGCAAAGAAACAGACTTGTAAGAATGTTTTTGAACACATAGACTTGGCTTGTTTAGGTGAATTCCTATAGCTTCTGTTGTATATAAAAGACGAACTCGTAGAGCATGGGTGAGGTTAGAAGGAATGTGAATATTAACTCGGTGGCCAGTGTCAATCAGATGTGAGAGTACTGAGCTTCGTATCGATCTGGTTCGCCCTTTACTTAGCCATGAAGGATGATGCTCGGTGATTCGACAACGAACTTGCCTAACTGTACGTCCAATGTAACTAGCTCCACAGCAGCAGTTCAACTGGTAAATGCACATAGAAGAGGAGAAGTCAGATAACCTGTCTTTGATTCGTATGGTCATCATCGGCCAACTAACTGTAGAGTACATAGTATAACTTTGTTGCATTAAATGATCTTATGGCATTTCTTAGGCGCTGTGTCACAATTTTGCTGATGATATCACCTCGAAATTGTAGTCTTAAGGACAGTGGTCTCTTGGAGACTGTTGATATTCTCGTTTTCATATTAAACGTGTTCAGATTTTTAGCCAGATACATTTCTAGATATCCATTACTACTGAGTAGGTCATGTATATTTTCAAGTTGTTCATCAGAAGTATCATCTGAACAGATGAATCTAGCTCGATGCACCAAACATTTGACTAGATTTCGTTTATATTGCAAGGGGGAACGAAACTCAAGAAGCAGGTGCATTAACCTGTTGACGTTGATTTCTGATATATGCTTCTTTTTACAGTCCCATCCGCCTTCCTTGTCAATGGGACATCTAAGAAGGTGAGGGTTATCGCTGAATGGACAATATGAAATTCACCCAGTATAATCTTTGCATCGTTCTTGTTATTCACAATAAAGAATGTATTGTCTACACAGTGGCAGTAAAATTCTAACCTGCCTATAATACTTTCCAGAGGGCGACTTTCTAACTTCGCTAGAAAAAATTCAGCTAAGACTGGGTCTATGATGACACCAATCTGTTTAAAATTCCACAAAATCTTCGTACTATAATTAATCTATGCTCTTGTTAATTACCTGATCCATTATCACCTTCTTGATACTTTGAAATTGATAATCTGTCACTAAACAACTCTCACCATTAGACTGGTATGTAATTTTACATTTTGAAAATGCTGCATATATCAGTATAGGGCTATTGGTGAAGAACTGATTGAAAAGAGATATTTCTTCGCTCACATTGTTTGTTTTACCAAATGTTTCTGTAATGTTCTACTGCTGATATATATTCTGACTGAATTGTATCTGTGTCGTAAATAAGTTTGATTATTAGTATTTAGATGCATTGAATGGATCCTAAGGCTATTTATTTACAATTATGCATTACAATTTATTCTAAACCTAGAAATGATTTTGTTTTTATAGAGTGAAACTGAAGTTATCATTTTTGACCCTAGAAGATTTGGATTTCGACGATGACTTGTGTTTGATATCGCACAAACCTGAAGATCTACAAGCAAAAACTAACAAGTTGACAGAAGAGACAGGGCAGCGAAGACGGAACTTCAAGTGAATGCAGAGAAGACAGAGGTGATGATGATACCCAAGCAACAACAGCATCAGCAACAACAAGCTCCAATCCCCATCAACGGGAGCAACTTAAAGGAAGTAACATCTTACACCTATCTAGGCAGCACTGTTTCAACTACAGGCGGCACAGGCACAGACGAGAACGTCAAAACCATGATCGGGAAGTCAGCAAGACAGGCTTCCATTAACCTGAAACCAGTGTGGAGATCTACTGCACTGTACTGCACTCAGCATATAGGGTGAACAAGATCCGGATTTTCAACACAAATTCAGTCAAGTCAGTGCTTCTTTTTGAAGGTTGAGAGACTTGGCGGGTTATGAAAGGCATTTCCTACAAACTACAGATATTCATCAAAAACTGCCTACGATCGTTACTGAAGCTCAGATGGTTAGAAAGAATAAGCAACAAGGAACTCTGGGAACGAACCAATCAAGAACCTACCGCCCAACAAACACGCAGAAGGACGTGTAGAAGGATTGGGCATGCATTGAGAAACCATTTGGGGACATCACCTGCCAGGCCAGACCAGGCCTTCTAGTGTAAACCAAAGGAAAACGACGAGTTGGGCGTCCGAGGCAAAGGTGACATGAAAGAGATAATATGAGGAAGAAATGAGAGGTTGTGGCTATCGTGGAGCCAGGTTGAAAAGACTGCAGAGAAGAGAGTGCAATGGACACGTGGTACTGAATCCGTATGTTCCATTAGGAACCCAAGGGACAAATAATAATGGAAAACTTGATGATACCACATGTAGAGTGTAACTGTTTATGAAACGATACAGTCAAATGATTTCCACCACATGATACATGTGCTACCTAACAGTGTTTTTATAAGCAGTTGCAGATAGGATCTCATCTGACATGCATGTAAGTTGTAGAGGAAAGCCAGAAGAATGAGTGTACTTAGGTTAGAAGATGGTAGTTCACTTAGTATAGGTGAGAATCTTCAGAATAACAACCGGAAATGAATAAAATCCCCACTAACCTCAAAATATACTACTGTTTAGTACACATTAGTGACACACTGAGAGATGGATATCCTAAAGTTCTAATAAAATGTCGCGACCTATGTGCTCAACCAGTTGGACATGAAATGGATGTCAATTGAAGAGGTTGGTAGATAGTCACGCTATATCGCGAATTGACAGAAGTCAGAAACTGTAGACCACTGGCTGGATGGTTAATGAGTCCCCTATGACATCTGAAGGTCCTGAGTTCATTCCCTGACATGATAGTTGATGCGAACGGCTAAGGAGTCACAGCTGTCCAGTTCTGTCAAGTTTTTCAGTAGTTCTCCAAATGATATCCGTCCATGGTGAATGCTTTCTCTGCATTTTACTTTTCAAAAGCATCACTATTTTCTGCGTTGTATTCTTGTGTAATGCATACATACAACTAAATATAGTGATTATGATTTGATATTATGATATTCTACTTATAATGACGAATGTCTTTTTTGGATTAGACCAATCAATCATCTTCATTTCATTGACCAATAGCATTATTAGATCTAGTAATTTCCTACAAGGTTATTGGTGGATCTCAAGTAAAATTCTATTGGTTAACATTTTGTTAAATAAACAGATTTCCTGCCTTGATCACATTTTACGCTTTTTCTGTTATAATTCGCTCCTTCATACAAAATGATTCATTCTAGAGTATCACTAATGATTTTTCTTTCCATCGTAATAATGAGTACAGAAGGTAAGAAATAATTGTAAATTAAATAAAAACTTTATTATCATTGAATTTTTGAAGTGGTTTAAAACCTTACAATTAAAAACACCAGTGTAACAGTGAAGTATTGTTGCACACCCTACTGGATGTAGTAGTAATAATAATAATAATAATAACAATAATAATAATGATAATAATAATAGTATCAATGGCTTTATTCTGAAAGCCATTTCGGGAATACTGTACAGAATTTTCAGCACATCATATAGCATCAATTTGACAGAGACAGTCTATGTGTATACATAGCAAAATGAAATTAAGTAGGAAACTACATGAAGAAAAGCTAAGAATACTCGCTGTATCTACAACTTTCTTCAAAATGCACAGCCAACTTAGGTAAACAATGACATTGGCAATTCGATTCATAATACATAGAAAACAACACGCTCATCTTCTTTAAGTTTACTTTCACTAGCAGAAGTTGCTTAGTGTAACTTCATTTCTAATACTTTTTTCATCACACAGTAGACGAGCTAAATACACACGGTATTGTAGAGCATTTATATTTTGTAGTAGGTGCATAAAATCTTACGTACTTACTCCTCGTCTTTCCAGATGACCGACACTCAGAGAGCTTTGAGTGAAGAGGATGTTGGTCATCTGATAAAATAACTCTTTGCCGGATGAGTTACAATGTTTGTCCACAACTGTTTTAACTAGAAGGTTAAGGGGTACACCATTAGTTCTACTGACAATCTTTAAAGTTCCATACAATAAAGCATAGTCTTCTGTCAGCAACCTAGGAAAAAATAGAGGGAAACAGTAGAGGAGAACAGGCATGAGGCAGAAGTTTATAAAACATAAGCAGAGAGGCTAAGTAACATCAGATACTCTCAGCTTCATAAAATAGGAAGTTAGGAGGAAAATCGTTTTAGAAAGTAGTGAGATATGGGAAGAACAGGAAAGGTTCCAAGAAAAACACCCACCAAGATAAATCACACTTTTAAGATTCTCCAGTGCGCGAAAATCGATAAAAACAGTGTCATCGGTGTATACATTGCAGTGATAATCGATTTTTTTCATATGGACTAAAACTTACCTATTGCAGTAGATTGTAATTCCATTTTAGTCTGCTTACCAGCTGTGTCACAAACTGGAACAGTATTATTGACTTAATAAGGCTTTGGACATAATCTTTTTTTCATGTACATATCATATAATCAGTTAAACTTATTCCATATAGAAACATATCTCTACAGTAGTACTCAAATTTTATACCTACATTGATGCATTGATAAGTCAACATTTCGTCCATCGAATACTCTACAATATACATTATTCAGACAATTTATTTATGGCGTACTCTATTATGCTGCAGTAAAGTTAGATGAAAATTGCTTGTTAACTGAATTCAGTTAATGTAACGCTGTATAGTGCTGATCATTGCTCTTTGAATACAGTTCAGTTAGTTATTTACACTTGACCATCGACATAATAAAAGTCGTCTAGTTTATTTGATATCATAAATCAACCTGTTGCCCATATAAAGGATAATATATGTAGGCTTGATCACATGAAATCTGGCTTGCAGATCCTATAACTCTTCCAGTTTATGATTTGTATATATTTCAAGTTGTTATTCATCGTAGACTGACATCAGTTGGAGGAACAAAGGAAACCTGGGTGCACTTGACAGCTGTTTCATCCTAGTATTGGACTCCTCAGCAGTGCGCACCCACGGCCCCACCAGCAGGGGTCGGACCCGCGACCTTCAGGTCCCGCGGCCAGCGCATTACCATTGAGCCACTGGGTCACAATCCAATGCTCCATATTTCCAACTTCTGTTAGCTCACGATATATAGCGCAACCGCCACCCAATGTCATCGTTGAGTATTTGTCCTCATGGCCATCAGGCTTTGACACCGGTCACGACTTGTCATTGGAACTTCGGGAATGCTTCTCGAAGCTAGTCACCAATGAGCACCAGTTCGATTAAACTTTGAGGGAGTTGTGGAGATTTGGAATTATTTTAAGTTGTCATTCATCGTAGACTGACATTTGTATATAAACCAGACATGTCATCCAACATGAACTAGTCACATGCTGGATGATAGGTGTCAGAGAAAAACTATTATTGAATAGAATAAGAACAATACGGTACCATTTTTACAGGCGTAAAACTTGGGCACTGTGGCAGAATTTAATTCCACATTAGATTTGTTTATTTGATCTATAACATACAGTGATCTAGTATTATTTACTTGATGACGTTTCGAGCATATACTATTGGTCATAATCATATTAACATTGATATGATTATGAGCAATAATTTATGCTCGAAACTCCATTGTATTACCCTATAAGGAGGGTACCTCAGAAACTTTACGTAGAATCCTCAACACAGCTGGAATTAGGGTGGCATTTAAACCTACAAACTCACTCAGAGATGAGCTTTGTCGGCTGGCTTAAGGATGCGATAGAACCAATTGAGCAAAATAATATAATCTATCAAATACCATGTAATGACTGTGAGGTCAAGTATATAGGTGAAACTAGTCGGTCGGAGTCAGTTAGGTGAGCAGAACACAGGAATTTAGCAAATATAGAATAACAGACCTAAATAAGATGAATAATCTAGAAAGTAGCTCGGCTATTGCTATGCATGCATTAACTCAAAACCACACAATAGGCTGGGATAAAGCCACTGTATTTAAGTCCAATATAATTAGGTGGAGCGAGAGAGGGAGAGATTGATTACTGAATCTTTGTTCATCGAATCAACACACAAAACGTGCAATAGAAATAACGCAACACCAGAGATATGGAAAATTTTGCTACCAATAAAAGCAACTCATATGAAGTGACATAACTATAAAAATCAAACGTCGAAAGTAGAGTGTGATTACACTGATATGATTATGAGCAGTAATAATTTATACTCGAAACGTCATCATGTAAATAATACTGTATCACTCAGTGTATGTTATAAATCAAATAAACAAATGTAATGCGGAATGGTACCATTTTCTTTAGATATTCTGCAACGTAATATCTACCAAGCGATTTATCCACTTAAACGATTCAGTAGGAGATGTTTCTTCAGAAATTTTGTTTGATCGTTCCTCAGGGTGTCTAATGTAATGACTCCTCAGTTCCTGAGGAGTTAGTGAACTTATATAAATGCATACTGAAGAGGTTAATACACCAACTTATCGTTTACACACTGACGTATCAGCTGATAAAATGAGTAGAAAATAAGGAAATTTTCAGCAAAGAATATCTCATTAAGAGATTATGACAAGCATTGAAGAGGAACCTTTTTGCACCTATATATCTCCATTTAAGGTTCATTGAAGGCATATTTTTAAGTGTAAATGGTCTCCACAAATTTTAAAACTGAAAGATTTCCTGAAAATTGTAAATAATCTTAGTGTCTCAACTTAGACTAGAAAAGTATAACTTATATCTCTCATGACCAGGTAAAAAATAAAGTTTGTTTTCTTTTTAATAGTTCACTGTGTTTGGGACTTACGTGAGTTTTCTTGACAAATATTTAACTTCTGAATAAGATTTATTTGATAAGATTTTCTTTGATTTACCATGCATAAAAAAGTATTCATAGATTATTATTTTCATCATATCAGTATCATGTGACCTTGAAGGTAATTATTACAGCAAAAGCAGATAGGGTTAGTGTTATTTTACTTTTGTATAAATTGAGAAAATTCTAAGCAATTGTACACTGAATCGAGTTCGAAATCTACTCAGAAACTTTTTGCTCATTCGCACAGTCAGCAGTGAACCATACGCCTACTGTATGAGGGCTAATTATACTATTTAGCTTCCCACAAAGGGGTTAGGTGGAGCTGGGTTGGGATGCATAACCAGTGGTTGAAAGTCAGCCTTCTCAACCAAAGACCCACAACTTCTTGGTTGTATTATGTTCTCTGAGCTGAGTTGTTTAGTCGTGGAGCTTACATCGTCTTTCTAGACGACATCATCAGCACTAACCTCAGTATGAAGTGAGCTGTCAGTATCTCTTCGTGAGTGATTTGGTGACTTGAAATGGCAAACTGGTTTGTGATTGGTTACCCTTCTACCTTGACGTGGTGGTCAGCTATGCTGGTGGAACACTTGTTCTCTCGAGGTTCTACCATACCAGAAAGGTCTGCTGGATAGTGGTAAGATGAAAAGCAGTTACCATTGTGGTGTAAATTAATACATTATGATGGGGGTCTGAGGGCGAAGTCATACTGCTGCTAGCTGGATGGAGTGTGACAGCAGTAAGGTGTTTTTCTTGGATGACCAGCAGTGCCATGCTGATGCTGCCTTCTCAGTGGAAGTGGGGGGGGGGTTAGAAAAGGTCGGCTCCAAAAATAAAACACTCCACCATACTTCATGGTCTGTCGTGCCGGCGTTGTTGGTTTATTTCTTGTTTCTTTTCGGCTATCCCGCCCCAAAATAACAAAAAATCGAAATAATCATGCACAAAAGGCTGTGTGTGACAGGCCCCAAGCAGATGTCCAATGGGCTCTGCGATCATACAAATCTCTTTCAGGTACCTTAAGAAGAGGTAGCCTTCCACGGTGTGGGCAGCCGAGAAGTATCAATCGCCCTCACAACTCTGTCAGTACTCAAGTTTCCTCAGACTACTATCAGTCTCTCCCCTGATTACCTCCTAATCATCCTTCACGTCTCCTAATTAACAATACTACATCATCTTTAATTTCTCCTAGCTTTGCAGTCTTTGACAACGATCTGAGTTCGCAAAACAGCATCATTGGTCTCCTTAAACCTCACTCCAAATTACACAGTGTAGCCTTGAATGTCCGCACGGATTTGCAATTCACTAACCGAGGAGACGATTGGAATGATGGGCACAACACTTCAAGGAACAGTTTAACTGGCCTCTAGCCATCACTGTGTTGCCCGATATTCAGTAGGATCCTGAATGGGGCATAGAGATGGGCCCCTCAACACTAGAAGAAGTTGAGAGGGCAGCAGGTAACCTGAGAAGAGGAGGGGCGGTAGGACCAGACGGACTACCTGATGAGGTATACAAGGATGGTGGTAAGGTGCTGTTAGTCATGTTAACGGAAGTCTTAACCAGTATATGGGAGTCAAATACGATTCCCTCTGATTGGTCTAAATCACTGATCATTCCAGTCTTCAAGAAAGGCGAGAAGTCCTCTTGTGATAACCACAGAGGAATCAGCTGACGAACATAGTGTCTAAGATCCTAGGTTCTATAATTCTTCGACACCTGAGTGGAGCTCAGGAACAGCAGGCCTGAGAAAACCAAGCAGGCTCTAGACCTGGCCGCGGGTGAAATCGACCAAATATTCACACTGCGCCAGGTTTTGAAACACAGGCATGCTTACAAACGCCCGAAACTGGTTGTATTTCTCGACCTGAAGGTGGCATTCGACTCCGTTGATCCAGAAGTCTTATGGCAATGTGTCTCACTGGAAGGTGTACTGAGTAAGTACATCACCTTATTGAAAGCTCTCTACTCGAACACTTGTGGGCATGTCAAAGCCTATTGTGAGATGTCCGGGGAGTAGTGCTCATCGAGTGATGTCCGTCAACGGTTCACACTCTCTCTCCTTTCTATTCGATTTTATCACAGATATTCTTATGGAGGTCTCCCTCTCGTCACCTGATTACATAGATGTTGACCTAATCACAGGAGAATTTTCACTAGACCCAGAATATGCAGATGACATATTGCTGTCAGGTGAAGGCTCTGACAAGATGCAGAGTCTTCTGAACACTTTGAGTGGGAATTTGAGAATGTTTGGGATGCGGTTCTCACCACTCAAAATGCAAATTGTTGCTCGAGGATTGGTCTTTAACAGTGCCACGGCTAACAATTGAGAGTGAAGTGGTTGAGTGTGTCGACCACTTCACTCATCTGGGAATTAGGATCAGCCCTGGTGGCTGGCTCAGTGGCCGTGAAATCTCTGCACAGATACAAAAGGCTCGACTGGCCTTTACCAACCTACACCACCTATGGCACCACCGTGACATACGATTGTCTATTAAGGATCGCGCATACCGCACATCAGTCTGATCTATTCTACTGTATGACTGTGAAACATAGCCATTGAAGGTGGAAGACATGAGAAGTCTTCAAGTGTTTGACGATCTTTGTTTTCATCGTATAAGCCGTATTCCGTGGTGTCACCACGTGAGTAATGTAGAAGTCAGGTGTAGGGATTTAGGGAGAGGAGGTGAATGAGTTGGTGAGGTTGTGAACCTTCATCGATTGAGATGGTTGGGACATGTGTTGTGTATGCCAGTTGCTGATTGCCTCATCACACAATGTTGACGGAAGTAGGTCGAGGCTGGAAAAAGGCTCGAGGTGACCAGACTGAAACATGACATCAATGCATGAATTCTCTGACTGTTGGTTTGAGCGATGTGGGGCGATGTAGACTAGGTGGCTGGGGTGCGCGAGACAAGAGGAACCAATGGTTGGAGACTGACCCTATGTGATATGGCTGAGAACCGATGTTAGTGGTGCAGACTTATACATACATTATCCTCATATTAACAACGCTAAGTGGAATCTCATCATATTCTCATTCTTCCTTTCTCTCTTTTCGTACTTTATATTTCTTTTGACTGAATTTTCTTTTCTTCATCCTCCACTCCACTGCTTTTTTACTTGATGTACTGATATGAGGTATGGCAACTCGGACCGTTACGCAGTAATGCCCGGTCTTAGGTTGATCTGGAAGGATGGATGAGCTGACTTCATGCTGAAGTTAGTGCTGATAATGTCGTTTAAAAAGACGATAAAAGCTTCACGATTAAATAACTTAACCCAGAGAACACAGTACAACCAAGACCGTCCACCTGAGCTACAAATATTCCCCATCACCTATAACTTCACACTTTACTGGCATGAATCAGTAATAGATTTGTATAGTTATATCCATAGTAAGTTGTATGATTTATTTAGATTCAGTCATAGAACGATGCCTCCCTGTTGACAAATTCTTCTCAACGTATCCTATTTAGCTCAGGTATATTCTAAGCATAGTCTTTGATAAGGTCAATGAAGTTGTCAAAAACTTGGGACTCACAATTCCGTATCAGATAAACTTATGAATAAACTGGTTGTCATTTGTCGCCTGACGTAAAAGTGTCTTCTCATTGGGATTCAATAATAAGTTAGGTATTCTTTAACTTAAGGTTTTCAAATACTTTAGTGTTTATACTAGATGATAACTGAAGGTGGAATGGAAATGTGAACCATGGCCGGATTCGAACCAGGGACCACCGGGTGTTTAACAGCTTAATGAAACCGAATAAAATCAACAAGTTAACCATGTTATTACGATGAAAAATTTGGTGCATAATATTTTTATGTTCTTCTGTGTTCTAGTGAGCCCGTTGCGTAAGTTTGCAGAAAAATATCTTGTTTAGGTACATAATTTAAGATTTATTTGTACATCGTTATTCCAGGAATAAGATGGAAAGTGATATGTGAAACCTTTCGGTCCAGAAACGGAAACGTGAAAAAAAATCATAACTTGTTTAATGTACAATTCTTTTTAGTTAGGGGAAACAGAGATAACAGTTTAGAAACCTATACACATCATATTGTCATTACTCGAAAAAGGATGATATCACTTATTCATGACAAGCTTAGACATTAGAGTATGTGAAGAAACCTATTTTATTGTGAAGTTTATTAACTATCACTGTGGATATTTTCATTTTGAAGTAACAATATTTCAATAATATTTCAGTTAATGGAGAAAATGGTAGAGATGGTGAGTTCTAGAACATTCTTAAAAATGATTCCTCTTGATATGCATGTAACCAATAAACTAATTTCGAAGCCGAATTATACACGCCTATACTTTAAAAATCTAGCAACTTAAAGATATCAGAATGAGGGTAATATAGTAGATGTACTTTGTCTCAGGTCTCCAAATCATATTCTTTACAGACTATTAACTACTTTTTCAGAAAATCAGGGTAGAAAAGATAGATGTTATCGGGACTGGACGATTTTGTAGATGAAAATAATCTCAGGTTGGTTATCATCATACAGTGACATTAGTTAGAGAAACATTAGAAACCTGGGAGCACCAAACAGCTTCTTCGTCCTAGTATGGGACTCCTCTGCCATATCTTCCCATTTCTTTTGCAATCTGGACAGGCTTGTCAGACAGCTTCAAACATTGTGCGGACATTCCATGTCCCTATGCTTGTTATTTCTTTCATCGAGAGAAGACAAGATACATCAGCCAACTGACTTCCCGAAGGCTTCCACCAACTGGCGTTATTTTGTCTGTCTGATTTCAGCGAAGGATAAGTTTATTTTCTATATTTCCTTTGTACTTCGAAGTCTCTACAGAGATTAGATTGATTTTCTGGAGTATGGTAGCTAGCCCTACGCCCAACCTTCCCTCTCTTTCCAGGTCCACAGCCGGCTAGTAAACTGGTGAACTAGTAAACTAGGAGAGGTAGAGAAGACAGAGGTGATGAAGTTACTCAACCAACAACAGCAACCACCATCAGCAGGAGAAATCTAAAGCAAGTTGTATCTTTTATCTGCCTACCTACCAACCTAGGTAGCATCGTCCCAACCACAAATGGCACAGGCACAGATAAGGATGTCAAAGACAGCGTCGGAAAGACAGCAAGACAGGCCTTATTTGGACTGAAACCAATCGGTGTGGAGATTTACTGCACTCCACTCCACTCAGCATAAAGCCTGAACAACATCTGGGTTCTCAACACTAATATCAGTCAAGTAAGGCAGTGCTTCTATGTGGCGGTTTAGAGACTTGGCAACAAACTGCAGACGTACATGAATCGCTGCCGCCTACACTGATTCTATGCTGAAGGTGGAGATCAGATGGCTAGAATAATAAGAATAAGCTAAGAGGAACTCTGACTGGCTGGCAACGAACCAACAAAGCAAGAACCTATCGCCCAACAAATATGCAGTAGAAGAATGTGAAGATGTATTGGACTGGAATACACTGGGAAGTCCATTTGGGGACATCAAGCGCCTCGCCAGGCGAGGCCCGCGAGTGGAACCCAAGTGGGAGACGACGAGCCGGACACCTGAGTCGAGGGTGACATGGAGGAGATTGTGTGAAGAAGAAATGAAAGCTTATGGGTAGTTGTGGAGCCAGTTTGAAAAGACTGTAGAGAAGAGAGTGAAATGGCGACGTGCTACTGAAACCGTATGTTCCACTAGGAACCGTAGGGAAAAATAAAAATCATAAAAATCAGTGAATTTTCTTCAAAAGAGCTTTGTGTGCATGGTAACGTTGAAACCAATTATCACTGGAATTCAGATCAAAATAATAAGCGAGTGATTTGCCGTCTTGTTTAACACTAGAAGGAGAAAATGAATTATATTCGCTTCTATGATGACATTTGGTATAAACTAGTCGAAGAAAGCCTAATTTAATGTGTTGGAACGAAAGATTTGCTGAATTTCCCACACACTCTCACTATCTACCTCACTTATCGTCCAATCAAAAACGGTGAAGAGTGAGGTCACCTGATTGGTAACACCAAATTAAAATGTTGTATAGGCAGGAGAAATGGGTGAAGGACTATTCAACCAGTCAGTCGTGAGCAAAAATGCCATTCAAATATTTGCTTATAAATAAATTCATATTTACAACTGTTTTTATCTTGCCATGTTTCCTTCATTGGACTCTCTGAAAGACGCCTTAAAAAGATGTGAAGAGCACTACATTGTGCGGGGTTCGCATTTACAAGGAGACCAAACACCACACATAAAGTTCATGTGTTGGAAAGCCAGTGGACACTGGTCCGTAGGTGATGTATTGAGAAGCAGGTCAATTCCGTTTGTTTTCAACATATATATATATATATATATACAACAAATTTTGTCTGAAATTCTCTTGTCCAGCGTTTATCCTTGAAAAATCTATAGACGGATCAGTCACTTCCTCTTTCACTGAGGATGAAAATATGAAGGATTTTTTTCTCAATATTATTATTTGTCCCTTGGATTCCTAGTGGAACATACGGCTTCACTAGCACGTCTCCATTCACTCTCTTCTCTCCAATCTTTTCAACCTTGCTCCACGACAACCCAAAAGCTCTCATTTCTTGCTCACACGATCTCCTCCATGTTACCCTTGCCTCGGACGATCAACTTGCCCTTTCCCATCTAGGTTCCAATCGACGACCTGGCCTGGTGCGTGACGTCCCCAAATGGTCTTCTCAGTGTATGCCCAATCCATCTCCACTTCCTTATGCATATTTGTTGCAAAAAATTTATGTATAGGTTGTTGTGCCGTTGAAATACACCTTCTGTAATCGTACTGCCTTTCCTATTTCCCGAGGGACTGCGCAACCATGAAGGTTATTGTTCAAGTATCCATATATCAGAATCTTAGAGTAATATAAATAAAACGCCGTCATAAAATCCTTGTAGTCCAATTATTGTTTTAATGGAATGTAATATATGTTTATTGTTTTAAAAAAAACTTTAGTTTTAAAAGTCTTGCTTGGTAAGCACATTTCAGATGACTACAGTAACTCATACTGTTTCATGTTTTTACCAATAATTTAAAAACTCTTAAGGCTTAACATGAATTCATTTTGATTACGTGTCGTTTGAAAAGATAAATCTGTTCATCGAATTTTTAAACCGAGATAAGTTAGAAGCAGTTTATCTCTATGAAAAGTTGAAACGGTATAATGAAGACCATCGAACTGTACATGAAAAAAGCAGTGTAACAATTTTAGCCACTAAAAAAATCAGAAACATACTCGCATATAATCTCAGAAGGTTGGCATTTAACCTTAAAACATAAGTTTTCTAAAATCTTTATTCATAAATTATCTGTTCCAGTAATGAAGGAGTGAATGATTTTGAATGGTGAATAGTGAACAGTGGTGGAATTCAAGATGCGCACTTCGTCTTACTTAAGGCTTATCAGTTGGATGCACTACCTCTTATTGAGTGATATTTTTACTACTAGACTAAAATCTAGGGCCACTGACCTCAATGTTAGCCAATAGAGCAGTGAGTCATGAAAGTCATGCCATGTATGTTATAAATTCGATGTTATGATTTCGACGACTTATGGATTCAGAATACTGGAATATGAAGTATACACATAATAATGGTTTCATCTAATCGCAAGAGTGGAAAAACTTACGATGCGAAAAAATTACTCTAAGTAAAACTGATTCACTTAAATATGCTTGTATAATAACTAAAACTGTAATATTCAATTATTGTGTGGGATGAAGTTTATGCAAACATTCGTATGCTAAGTATGTATCGAAATTTTTTACGATAATTACAATCATAATATCCTACAATATGTTTTTGTTCGAAGTGGGAACTTTGTAAAGAATGTTCTCTAGAAAAAACTTTAATTATTCAGTCAACTGATACATGTATTATACCCACTATTGACACATTCGAGTTCGAAGCTTATAGAGCTAAATTTATCACAGTTTTTTAAAGTGAAGGTACATAAATAATAATCTGAGCGTGACCAGAAAGGACCTAAAAGAATCATTTTCCCTGAACTCAATTCTGAAACTATTATTCTCAAACGACCACTAGACAGATGAATGAGAAGTTGCCATCGTCGTCATTACATGGTGTTTATTGTACTCATTTACAGTCAACCCTCTACCTCAACATCATCCACTTTCAAAAATCCTTTCACAGCGTCCACCGAGAAGTTATTTGCCAGGCAACTGCTTCAACACTACGGAATACCACAAACCTTTATCAACCTCATTCATCAGCTATATGAAGACGCCACATGCCCGGTGGTCCACAATGGAAAGCTCAGTGATCCCTTTGAAGTGAATACAGGGGACAGGAGTAAGAGAAGGCTGTCTACTAACACCCATGATATTCCTGATTGTGGTCAACTGGACTGGATCATGCAGCACACCATGAGGATCGAGAAGATGGGCATACGCTGGCTGGACCCATGAAAAGAGCTTAGAAGAGTTAAATTTCGCCAACGATGACTTGTGTCTAATGTCGCACGAACTCGAAGGTCTACAGACGAAAACTAACGAGTTGACAGAAGAGGCGAGACAGCGAAGACTGGATTTCAAGTGAACGTAGAGAAGATAGAGGTGATGAAGATACTCAACCAACAACAGGATCAACAACAAGAGGCACTAATCACCATGAACGGGAGAAATCTAAATGAATTGGTCTTTTCTACCTACCTACTCAGGCAACTACAGGCGGCGGCACAAACGAGGATGTAAAAGTCAGAATCGGAAAGACAGCAAGACAGGCCTTACTGCATTAGTCTGAAATGATTAGTATAGAGATCTACTGCACTCCACTCAGCATAAAGCGTGAATAAGATCTGGATTTCCAACACCAACGTCAGTTAAGTCAGTGCTGCTATACTGTTCACTCAGATAGTTGGTGCATCACAAAAAGCACTTCCAACAAACTACAGATATTCATCAACAGCTGCCTATGCTCACTCGATACTGAAGATGGAGATCAGATGGACAGAATGATAAGGGTAAGCAAGAAGGAACTCTGTCGTGGCGACGACCCAACCAAGAACCTATCACTCAACAAATATGCACTGGAAGGAAGTGGAGATGGACTGAACTGACACACACTGAGAAAACCATTCAGAGACATAATACGCCACGCCAGGTCAGGCGGTCCAGTCGAATCGAAAGGGGAAAAAGATGAGTTTGGCGTCCTAGGTGAGGGTAACATGGAGGAGATCGTGTGAGGAAGAAATGAAAGATTGTGGGCAGTCATGGTGCTAGGTTCAAAAGACTGCATAAAAGAGAGTGGAATGGAGGAGTGCTACGGAAGTAATATGTTTCATTAGGTACCCAAGGGAAAAATAAATAATAATAATAATTTGCTAATCTCATTGATTCCCCAAAGGTTGGTTAGTTCATATCAACGTCACATATAAAATATCGTATTAGAAACATGCGACGGTAGGCAAAGGTGGTACAGTTCGTGTATAATGAAGAATTCAAACGAAACTTCATGAATAGTTAACAGTTTCAGTTATAGTTATGTTGCTCATTTAAATGGTGCTAAAACTGTATTGGTAGATATTTCCTAGTATTTTGTCACATCGTTTCTTGCCTCTACGATAATACTTCTTATTTCCCTACTGATAATCTAATTTTGACAATATAAATTCAAGTTGTTGGATGAAAGTTAAGATATTTAAAGGAAAATATTGGTTCTTACACATCGGTGGTCAGTTCACTAGTTTCTATTCTGAATATAATACATATGAAGTTAGACTGTAAAAAACCCACCTACAAATGTATCACGGAACAGCTTGAGTAGTTGGGAACCACTTATATTGATGAATATATGTTTGTACTGTGTTATGATTGAAGATGTGATGGAAATCTTAGCTGTGGAAGGATTTGAATCAGTGACTACCAAACTTCCAGCCCAGTGCCCTACCAATTGAGATACGAGAACGAGGGGCTGACCAGGGGTTTTTGTCCTACTGACCTGTGAATTAATGAGGGGTTACTATCAATTGATTTTACTCACACTGTTTACCCACTCAGTACTTCTCACCCCGAAAGGTGAGAATTATACTGATCATAATTTTAACTATTTGAGATAGCGTGGGTCTGGCAGACTTCTGTCACTGATAGTGAGAGATGATTGAGGATAAGATGAAAATCTTGACCGCTACAGGATTCGATCCGCCGGTTTTTCACTGTCGTCAGCGTCCTAACAGGCCATTCAAACAGCTACAACTTTAAATTCTGGTTGGTTAAAACCGATAAATATATAGCTCATATTGTTTGGTTTTTTTATTCAATGAAGTGATTGAAGAAACATATGGAACTTGTAGAAGAACACGAAAACATTTTGTCATAACTAAAAAGTTATACTAATTTTTTCAATGCAGATTTACATATACAAACAAACTGACTACTTCTAATGTCCTTTTTATGCTTTGTATTATTTTAATATTTCAGCTAACGGTAAGTAGTATAAACTTACCTCTAGTTCTAAGCCCTAAAGCAAAAGTATTTCATACTGAAAGTGTTATGGTTTCGAACGCTAATGGCATATGTATATATTCCGAAACGAATACAATACGCGCGTTTATCTGACAGCTAACTTGGTACGCAAGAGCCACTGACATCAACCCCGGGACAAATAGAGAGAAGACCGAAGCTGGCAGATTATTATTATTTGTCTTTTGGGTTCCTAATGGAACATAGGGCTTCAGTGGCACGTCTCCGATGCGCTGTGTTCTCTGAAATATCTTCAAACTGGCTCCACGACAGCCCACAAGCTCTCATTTCCTCCTTGCACGATCTCCTCCATGTCACCCTCGACTAGGATGCCCAACTCGTCGCTTCCCATCTGGGTTCCACTCGACGACCTGGCCTGGCGCATGATGTCCCCAGTCAGCCTTCTGAGTGAATGCCTAATCCATCTCCACTTCCTTCTTCATGTTTGTTGAGCGATGGGTTCGGGGTTGGTTCGTTCCCATAGTTCCCTGTCGTTTATTCTTTCTGGTTATCTGATCTTCAGTAACGAGCCAGCGTAGTCAGTTGTTGGTGAATGTCTGTAGTTTGTTAGAAATGCTTTTTGCAACGCGCCAACTCTCTCAACCATCACATGGAAGCACTGACAGACTTGACTGAATTGGCGTAGAAAATCCGGATCTTGTTGTTTACGCTGAGTGCAGAAGATCTCCACACTGGTTTCAGGTTAATGAATGCCTGTCTTGCTGACTTCCCGATCATGGTTTTGACGTTCTCGTCTGTGCCTGTGCCACCTGTAGTTGAAACAGTGCTACCTAGATAGGTGAAAAAGACTACTTCCTTTGTGTTTCTTCCATTGATAGTGACTGGAGCTTGTTGTTGCTGATGCTGTTGTTTGTTGGGTATCTTCATCACCTCCGCCTTCTCTATGTTAACTATAAGTTTCGTTTTCGCTGCCCACTCTATCTTGTCAACTTGTTAGTTTTCGCCTGTAGATCTTCGAGTTTGTGAGATATCAGACACAAGTCATCCTTGACGAAATCCAAGTCTTCTTCTGGGGTCATTTCATCGGTCCAGCCAGCGTATGCCCATCTTCTCGATCCTCACGGTTCGCTGCATGATACAGTCCACCACAATCAGGAATATCATGGGTGATAGTAGACAGCCTTGTCTTACTCCCCCCTATCTTCACTTCAAAGGGATCACTGAGCTTTCCATTGTGGACCACCGGGCATGTGGCGTCTTCATATAGCTGTTGAATGAGGTTGATAAAGGTTTGTGGTATTCCGTAGTGTTGAAGCAGTTGCCTGGCAAATAACTTCTCGGTGGACGCTGTGAAAGGATTTTGAAAGTGGATGATGTTGAGGTAGAGTATTGACTGCCATTGTATACTCTCTTGTATGATGATGCGATACGTTGCAATTTCGTCGGCATATGATTTGTACTTCCTGAAGCCAGGCAGCCCGCCTGTTCCGGTCGCAGTTTTGGATTCGGCGCATCCTTTACTCTCACTTCGATGATACGGCGAAATATTTTGCTTGGGTTTGACAGCAGCATGATTCCGCGCCAGTTTTCGCAAACGCTGATGTCTCTCTTCTTCGTGAGTTTGACAAGGTAACCCTTCTTCCATTCGCCAGGTACCTTTGCTTCCTTCCAGACCCTCTGTAATAATGATGTGAGCATGTCCGCTGTTGTGTCTGCTTCTGTTTTCAATGCTTCTGGTGGGATTCCACCTGGTCCTGCTGCTTTCCCGCATTTCAGTAGCTTTATGGCGTTCAGGACTTCCATTTTTGTTGGAGGGTTTATGTTTACTTGTAGTTCCGTGGCTGTAGGTGGTGGCAGTGGTTGGTTGAAGAGCTTCTTGAAGGGGTCAACCCATCAGTTCTTTTGTTTCTCTTCTTTCGTAATTAAATTTCCGTCATCATCTTTGGTTGGTTTCATCTGTGTTGATCTCTTCCCAGATAGCAACCTGGTTATTTGATACAATGTCATCAAGTCTCTCCTACCTACAGCCTGTTCTGCTTCACTTACCAATGTGTGGTAGAAGTGTATTTTGTCTTTCCGTGCACTCGCATTCACTTCTTTGTCCAGTGTTTTATACATTGTGCTTAGTTCCTCCTCTTGTTGTGCATCCTTGCATTGGTTTATATTCTGCTTCACCATCCTCCTCTCCCTGCTCTATCAGCTTCCATGTATCCGTCGAGATCCACTCCTTATCTTCTTTCTTCTTCCTTCCTAATACGGCTGTGCAGGTTTATTTCTACATCTCTTTCAAAGACTTCCAGTGTTCTTTCACACAGGTTTCTTCACGGATGTTGCTCGATGTATCCCATTTTGTCTTGATGTCTACCGTGAAGATTTCATTGTAGTTTCATTCTTCAGTTCCCGAGTGTTGTACTTGAACTGTGGTCTATCACCAACTTCCTTGAAGGCTTTCAACTTGATTTGGAAGTTCCCTTGGACTAGATAGTGAGTGGTGTGAACCTACATCTGCTCCTCTTCTTGACCTTGTGTTCAGAAGAATGCGTCTCCATTTTCTTGAGACTGAGATAAATTCGATTTGATTTTTAGTGTGTCTTGATGTCTAGTGAAATCCATGTCGCTTTGTGGATATCCTTGTGCTTGAACACACTGCCTCACTGCAATCACCAAATCGTTGAATGTACACAATTCACCATTCTCGTTCATTTCACCTAGCGCTTCTCGACCTATGGTTAGTTAGTTAGTTCTCTTCCTGTGTTATCCCCCTCCCAGTCTGGCATTCATGTTACCCATTAGAATTTTGATATCGCCAACTGAGGTGGTGTCCTGTCCAGTGTTGATTGAAGTTGTTTGTAGAATTCCTCCTTTTTCTCTTGCTCTGCATTATTTGTAGGTGCATAGCGTTGCATTCTATGATTGTGACCTTCCTTCCTTTCCAGTTGAACCTTGCAGTTATGATCTTGGAGGAGATTGATTCCCACTGCATGCGAGAGAGTATTCGGTGCTGTTCAAGGGGACATTATGATAGCCACTCTGTGAGTGTGCTCGTGGTTGTCGTCTGTGTGACAGTATCGGAGTAGATTATTGATTCTCCAGTTGACAGTTTGGAGAGTCCACTCCCATTCCATCTGCTTTCGCAAATTCTAAGCACTTCAGTGTGATACCTCTTTATCTCGTTTGCAATCTGGGCTGCCTTGCTAGGTTCAAACATCGTGCGGACATTCCATGTCCCCACGTTTAATTTCACTTTCATCGAGAGAAGATACATCGGCCAATTGGCTTCCCGAAGGCTTTCACCAACTGGCGTCATTTCGCCTCTCCTAACCTTTCCTCTTTACCTGAGCTTAGGACGGGCTAGTAACTAGTGTACTAGTTAACCAGGCGAGAGTGTAATACTCCGAGGATATAATAATCGTTCAATATAAAGCACGTGAATAAGTATACACATGACAAGTGACCTTATCCTCAATTTAAGGCATTTGCATAGTAAAAGTAAAGATTAACCAATTAGCGATTTACATTACAGTGGGGGTAGAAAATAGATTTTAGTCATACCGCATAAAATGGTATGGAAATGACACGTTATAAAATGTTCAGATCAGTAACAATGTTTTATACAAAACTGGGGCATCATAACAGAAAGTGAGATAAGTGTTTTTCAGTTTACAAAGAATATTTTAAAATTAATCTGTTAAATGCAAAGTAACTGAACGATTCCTAAATTTTAATATTTGATTTTTCTTTCTAAATTTTTGTTGTGTATTTAGGTACTAGTGGTAAGGAGGTATTTGAGTGACGCTTTCCTGTTGATAACGAAACATTTACGAGCAAAAAAACATATAGAAACGATTAGTACTACTGTTATACATAACGTAAATAAATGTCATAGTCTACTTGGTTGCTAGTAGTGGAGTTTAGGACACGCATTTCGTCTTATGTGGGACTCGTTAACCAGATGTACCTACACCCTAGTGAGTGTTGGTGTTCCCATTGAGACACAAAACCAGTATTATTTACCTCACATCTACTAGGACATAGGAGACACAGATTATGAAACTTGTCTCACTTATTGTCTTGCTTGATACCTGGAATTTCTCACTGCTATACTCGAATGAATCGCTGCAGCTCTATTGGCTAGTGGGCTCCTATATGGTTATATACGAATGTTATCCACAAAAAGGATTTAGTCAGTGAATTTAATTAAAATTAGATTTGGTGGGGGAGGGTGTATTGTGTGACATGAATCTGCGAGCTTTGTGTATATTCTATGACTGAAATATTGAACTTCGGTAGGTTAATTTGGAGGTTAAATTAAATTTATACATTTCGAACAGTCTAATCATACATTTGTAGGGGTGCGTGTTACAATTCCGTAACGTTTGGTCAACCCTACTTAACTTGATGTGCTCTAGTACCTGGTTAACCAGTACTTTACCTAACGTGTAAGTACCGATAACAAAACACAAATCAAAAGAACTGATACGCAATGTATTTGAAGGAGCTATGTATTTAATTAAATTGAATGTAATGATAATGAATGAGGGAAAAGTCTAATCAACTTATCTGGCTTGTAAGGCTGAACTAGGGACTCGGAGTACGTGCGTGGTAACCAGCACAATGGGGCGCAAAAATGGTGTCCAAGCCTGCTCGGATGCATGCTCGTTAAAGCAAAACTTAAAACACCCTAAGCATCCGGAGGCAAGCTAGAGATTTATTTAGTTAATTTAATTTAAACTATTTATTTTAGCCTTAGTTATATTTTGGTGCCAGGAAAGTGCACTACAGGTTATCCCTCTCCTAGAAGGTTGTTGGGATACCGGCAACCTTTGATCCTAGGAGGCGACTACGGGGCAGACACGCAACACCTTTCCATATTGGTGATGGAGTAGGTGACGTGTGGGTCTCCGAAGCTAGTGCAACTATGCACACCCACGAGGTAAGAGAACTTTGCGTCCAGGCGCAACCCTTCTCGCAGTGGTGGAAGGTGACCCAAAGCCTCCGTCTAC